CTGCTGACCGATCGATCTACTCGACGAAACGTAATTTAAACGAGACAGGTCCGAGTGGATTAACGTTAATCAACGATTAAAGGTCGCGTACATTGGTAAATGGAGATGTAACGAAGCCTTACCTAACCAGACTCCAATAAAGCGACGTTATTGCATCGTGTGTGTCCCGACTCTACCATCTTCCTCAGTCGAGGAATCTCCTCGTTTCGAAAATTTCATTCCGTTCCCTGCAAATTTATTTTTTCCTCTCTCTCTTCTTCCTATCGATTAAATCGCACGATTTTCTATCGATTCAATCGGCCCAGAGAGTTTATTCGAGCTCGTCTCCGGCCCGAACGCTCGTCTCCGGCGCGTTAATTAACTCGAATCGAGCTTTCGGGGTTTTCACGGTACCTTTTGCTAATTTGCAGAGTTGGGTCCACCGATTTCGAATCCGAGAGTGGCTTTTTATTCGATCCACTTTGCGGCCAGTGTAATCGGATGGCCGAAAATCGGCGCGCTTCGATTGAGAATTCCCGGAGAGTCGCCATTTTGGGGGAAAGGTAACCCTTCGAAACTCGATCTGCCGTGACTGGATTCGATATTCATCGTAAGCTCTGCTCTTGTTGAAAGTTCAACGAGAGACGTTGATCACAGAGAGTTGAATATTCAGCGTTTCGTAATATCAAAATGTGGGAATTAAAAAGGTATTCTAGCAACGTTGTTTGAGAAATTTATCCCGGATGAAGCGTAATTCCTTTGTCTTTTGTTTCATCTTCGACTGGTTTGGTTTATCGATTAAGTCGTACGTTTTAACGGCTAATATTCTGCTAATACTCTGAACACTGTTCGCGTGTTAGCCTGTCTCGAAACATTTGAATCCTTCTTTAGATCTGGGAATTATAAAATAATCGAAATGTTGTTGCCATTTGCCTTTTCTCTTCGCGCATGACTAGAAGCTAAGCTAACGTTTGATGATTCTCAGGAAAAATGCCCCTGATAGGAGAACGATATCGAAATCGCGTCCCCTGATCGATTAAATAACGATTACTATCGAAATAAGATTCGCGAAGATGAAAAATACGTGTTCTATATAAATATCGATGAATCAGGGTGAAATTAACGTAATAAAAATTGTATTTGCGGTCCGGATATAAAAATACAAATTTTTAGACTACCTAGATGTCGCTCCAATCGTTCGACTGAACTTAGACTCGATACAATTAAATAAAACGATATCACTTTCGAATAATGTTAAATAAATAACGAGAAAACTAGACTGAATAAGCTTAAATTACTCCTGTATCGCATTTTATTCCTAAAAGCAGCCATTACACTTTCCAACTTTCGAAGGAAGACTTCGCTCAACTGCAAAATAAACGAAAAAATAAAATACAACGAAACGAATAAAAAATCTTTGTAACACGCGTTATATATTTGCTATTTAAAAATCACGTAACAACAACGAACGATAAAATATATAGTAATATACAAAAAGGAAAAAGTAAAAATCGATTTCCTCGATCGTGACATAACCTCAATCCTCGGATACCAACGGTCCGAGAATGGACGCCATTTCGAAGCGTTGAAAATAAATACCCGGTTCGATATAACACTACGCAAACAAACAACGATAACAACTATCACTTTGGAATTGTACATCGCATCGCGATTCCTTTTTAAAACGAACAGAAGGATACGCGTTGAAATCAGCGATGGGAACATGTCATGCGGCCTGTCATGTAACATCATCATCAACGAGCAATAATACTAATCGAGTTAACAATAACATAGATCACCATCTCCACACGATATATCCCTCGATCACTGAACGTCCATCTTCATCTAACACATGACGATCTCGTTCGTTTCGTCCCTCGCGAACTAACCGTGAAGACAAACACCAATTACCCAAATACGTCACATTAGGTCTCTAGCTGCCAACCAGGACACACCTGGACAAACGTTTCTCACCATGACACGAGATCTCTGATCGAAGCTTCCTCTTTGAATCTTAGGTCCAAGCTAGTCGTTCACTCGCTCTGTAGATTGGTCGATAAACGATTTCTTATGGGGCTCGAATCGTTCCACGAATCGAACAGCACACTTGGCCACCCAATAGGACATCGCTCAAGAACCGACAGAAGAAACGGACGAAGATGTCCCGACGAGCTGATCGATTCGACCAGACATCTGTCGTCTTCCTTCCCAGAAAAAACTTTCCCGTCCTCCTATCAACGAGGATGGAAGAACGAGAAGGTCTCTTCGGTATCAGGGGATCCGCAGAAGATCCTCTGCCCCATCGATTCCGATATAAAGCTCAGTCCCCGCGAGAATCCTTAAAAGTACTATCTTTGGCAATGCGACGTGACCTATGCGTTTCATTCGCGTCTACGTGTCCTCCGTGTGCATCTCTGTGATCGCTTCGCGACGACACGTGATCCTCGTGTGCCCCTGTGTTCCGCAACCACGCGTGCTACCGGTTTCTCCCGCCATTTTGTAGTGTTTCCCAGCGTTCCCAATTTGCTCGTCACTTCGTGCAACGATTTCGATGTTTGAGAAGCCATCGACGTCTCTTCTCTGTGATCTTTAACCTATAGAGATAATCTTTTCCAATGATACTTTGACCAATTGGCTGGCCAATATTTTGACCATTTTGACCAATTTTTACATGTTCGATGACTCCAGAAATGGATTAGGAGATACTAAAGTGTGATATTTCGTCTAGAATCTCTAGAATCCTTCACCACAGGTCCCATTGAGTTCGATAGCGAGCTGTATGCTCCGCGAAAGGCAGTTTCTACGCGTTAAGCCCGTTTCACGCTTTCGTGATAGACCACTGTGAGAAGATCACGAGGTACATTTCACGAGGAATATTTCTCGCAATCCCTGTCGACGTTGTCTAGTATAACACGCGTCGAGCTCCTCGGGGAATTGCGTTTTCGGATATTTAGTGACACTTCGTGTCGGCACGCGTGAAAAGGGCTTAAGGCGACACTTGTGGAAGCTTCTCCGTTCGCTTGAAACGCGAACACCGTAGAAACCGTGAGCACGCGAGGCGGCTGAATATCGTTAGAAACGCGAGTACTTGATGAGATTCGTCTTCCGTGAGTTTTTGGCAAGATGGCGGATCGGAGAATCTCTCGAGGCGGGCTACGCGTTACGTATATAGTCGACGATTATACGCGTCGTTTTACTTGTTGCGTGTGTAGGCGACGGTACGTATGTATAATTAGGTGGGTGTGTACGTATTTATGCGTGTCTTTTGCTCTTTTCGTCCCTCTTCTCCGGCTGCTGATGGCGTACAAAGTTGCTCTTCTCTCAGAGGCTGCTACCGTACTCGCTCGATCTTCGTCGGTCGATGTGCTTCATGTACGTCTCCGAGTATATGCTCTTAGTGCGGTCGTCGTACCTGAAAGCAGAAGCAGACAGTGGCACCAATACGTTTTGCTCGGCTCGGCGATGTTCATGCGGCACGAGGGTAGGGACTATTTGTTGCTCGCTCTGTGGCTCATCTAGGGTTAGCGATGGGGCTCCACAGAGTTCGAATTATCGGATTGTTCGGAAGTTCGTGGCGAGATTTTCGAAATTTCACAGTCAATCCATGGACGAAATCGTTATTTCGTTAATATTCCAACTATTATACTTGTAATTTGAATTTAATCCTGATAATCTCTACATAGATAATAACCATTCAGAGTTTGGACTCTTGACGGTTCTGAGGTTTCAGATTCTGATTTGGTCAAATCAAATTTGGAAACTTAGTAGAAATTTTGTTTAATTCCAAGCCTGTATTAATTGACGAACTGTTTATAATTTTTGAGGATACGGTAATCTTTCACTGAAGATTTAGGGAGATTTGGTCAGCCAAGTTTGAGTACAGTGGTATGACTCCATTATAATCACTGCAATCCCTAGAGAATATTATTTTATTTAATATATCGTTGATAATTTTTTGATATCGATACTGGTACTTCGAATCTATAGTATGTATCTGAAATATTTGATACATAGGTAACATCAATTAAAGTTCCAGTTGAAATAGCTAGATAAATATATATAATCTTTTAATAATTTATTAATTTCAGTGTCAAATAGGAGATAATTTTTCACCACTTATTTTTAATATTTGGAAAGTGCTCGAGCTGTCAGATGTTTCGCTGTTAAACAAGTTCGTAAGAACTAAGATAAATGATAGTTGAATGGTGGTATCTTTGATGAATAGGCTTGATGAGCTAAGTTCCTCGTTAGCAGAGGCACAGCATCGTTTTATTGAAAAGGACGCTTTTTCTGCTGACAAATTCCTCTTTAATTGCTGCACTTCGTCAGTCCAAGTGGTAAAGACATTTGTGCGAATTAAATATCTCGTTAATTGGCTGAAGTTTATAACCCAAACCCCTTTTCAGTCTCGGGACGTGCAGGCTTTGATCCAGACGCCTGTCAAAGCTGCCACGAACTTTCAGAACGATCCAATATTTCCTTTGTACTGTTTTTGGTAATACAATCTATTCCATACAAGCATTGCTACATCTAAAATTTCAATTTACTTTCCTTCAGCATTATTGAAAGATATTTAACAGGTAATTGAGGGAACAGTGGGACTATATATACTTCAAAGATGCATAATTTTTGACAGAGAGAATTTTCGCGTATATGTAGGAATATTTGCAAAGAAAAGAAAAAATTGTACAACCAATAGAATAAAATTATTATAAATTATTATAACACAAATTGGATTGGCTACTGTCATCATACATACTCGGGAGTCATTCCGTTTTCACTTCTCTGTCATCATCTTCATTCGTAATTATTCACTTCCACTTACTTCGCACGTACACACACATCCATGCGGATAATAATGGAGGATAAAAGTAGAAATAACTTAATAACTAACACTATTGTATATATGTATTCTTACGCTACGATAATACACATGTAACTATTCCTACATATATATATATATTTTTTCGACAGAGAGAGAGGAATTTTGAATTTTTAGTTTAGATGGAATCGCATGTTTAGTTCTATGAATCATGCTGGCTTAAAAAATTATGCACTTGTTTTGAAAAGAGATAGGGGTACACGTACAAACTCTATTGGACATGTATGATGGTACGGTATACTAGAACCGTGTTAATTGAACGTTAATTGAGTTACCTTCGTCATTTCTTGCAATTGACTTGTAAGCGCAAAAAGAAAAAAACAGGAAAATTTGATTGATAGTGTCTGGAAGATATGTTTTATTTATTTTTCTTTGATATTATGTTTCAGTGACAAGGTTGTCAATGTGTATTAGTATAAAACCGAATTAACACCGTGTTAAAAATGCTGGGAATGTTCTGTATCATGTAGAATGTTCCTTGATTTTTAAATGAATTTTTGAGCAGCTAGTAATGGGTTTGATTTTCCTTCTTTGTTATTTACAGTAATTATAGATATTAATCGAAATTTTCGTAAATTTCTATGAATTATTAATATTTATAGAAATGTTATTTCATAGTATAGTATTAATATTAGTATATCCTATACACGATAATATCGGTCAATATAAATATTATAAAAATTATTATTTGCTTTCGTTTATTAGATTTATGAGCAGTCATGAACATAACAAGACGTATTTTAGATTTATCACGTGCGATTACTGTGGTTTGATTCCAGTTGATTTGATTTATCTCTATTTAATTCGATTTTGCCATAATAGCCTCCAGAGACATTCAAGCTAGTGATGGATTTAAGAAAATTCGAGCTGAAATTACATTTCATTCAGAATTTAGACTTTCTTAGAAATTAGAATATTTGTGAATTTGAGAACGTGAGAAGTTGAAATTTTAAAAATTCGAAAATTCGATAACTTGGAAAATCGAAGATATGAAAATTTGGGAATTTAAATGTTCGAAAATTTGAAAATTCGAAAATTCGACAACTTGGAAAATCGAAGATATGAAAATTTGAGAATTTAAATGTTCCAAAATTTGAAAATTCGAAAACTTGCTAACTTGGAAAACCGAAGATACGAAAATTTGGGAATTTAAATGTTCGAAAATTTGAAAATTCGGAGATTTAAAAATTCAAAAATTTGAAAATTATTCGTCCCGAGTGAAATTTCGAGTAGAATGCACATTTAATTAATTTCACGACAACAAGGTGTATTATAAAACGCGATCCATTTCCGACAATGCAAATTGTTCAAATATGTTCGCGTTACGCGCCGTTTCCGGCAATTTAGCTTCACCAGAATCGTTTTACGGCCAAACTTTAAATAGTCGCTATAAATTAACGAAGCCACGAAAAATAGCATACAAGGATACAGAAGAAAACAGTGGGTTCTACAATTTTATTCCATCTCGAGACATAATTTTTTCATTTCGCTAAATTTTCAATACTAAAACAGTATTCAGAAGATATGTATATTTAAGAATCCTCCAAATCCTGAAAATACTGGAAATATTTAACGACCCTGAAGCTAAAATTAAATATTAAATTAAATGTTGCTTTCATATCAACTTTTCATACGAATAATCGTATTAATTCTTAATACTCCTTTTTTCCGAATTATTTTATACCAACCAAAACCATAAAACGAACTGGGACTTAAATTATACAAATATATTTCAATATTGCAAACCGTGATATCAAAAAATCTTGATAATTTTATTCATGAATTTTAATTTGGAAGTTTCAATGATAAGCGAAAATATTTAACATAATTAACATCATAGAGATACGCTTCTAGTACGAAACAGTACAAGAGCCTGTTTTAAGGCTGACTTTCAGTATCTGCAATTTCCACGTAAGATAGAGGGTTAACCTCGTCGTAAAGTTGCGCGAAAAACGCCTGGTTGGTCTCTGATAATCGAAGTTATCTGGCCCTGCAACTCTTTCACGTTACTGGAAGCAACGATAGGGGGAAGCTAACTTTCAAACGGAAGGCAACTAAAAAAGCAGCTGCTCTTTATGAGAGCCTTAAAGAAGCGAAAAAGGAAAAAAGTTCTTTTATCAAAGTCCTCGCAGAAAAGTACAATATTGTTAGAAAAATATCATTAAAAATTAAATATTTGAAATAGACTTACCAGGGAACTCTAATTGCAGATATAATAATTTTATTTCATTGTACAATAAATTTAATTTTTCTGATTCACAGATAAAAGGTACAATTCAAGTAAACACCCTTTTCAAGTAAATACCATAAATTCAGTTCAATTATTGTGAATTACGAATCTAAATTCCTATAGGAAAATATAATTATTACAAATTAAAAGATATAGTAGTATATTAATTTATATGTATATAAAAAGCACAAACATATTAGAAAAATTTATAAATATAATATTATAATATTGTGAACCACGAATCTAAATTCCTATAGGAAAATATAATTATTATAAATTAAAAGACGTAGTAGTATATTAATTTATATATATATAAAAAGCACAAATATAATATTAGAAAAATTTATAAATATAATATTATAATATTAGAAAATTATATATAATGTTATAAATATATATAATTATTATAGTAGAAATTCCATTGAACGTGTCTGCTTATAAAATAAAACAAAATTAAAGTAAAAATTGAGATAAAAATAAAGAAAAAGATTTTCCACGAGAACAATGAAGAGAATAAAATCTGAGGGGGTAAGAAGTGTATCTTCTCGCCGGGACTATCAGAAAATCAAGCAGAAACCTCGAATCGAGCTTGTAATGGTGGAGAAAGCACGATGTTTCCCTTCTTCCTTCCTCCCTTTTTTGTTTCGAGAGAATTCGCTTCAAGAGGGGGTTAGGGGGTGCGCGAAATAGGGGGTAGTACGCGTGTTCCTTGAGTTACGCTCACGTTCGTGCGAAAAAGTCGAGCATCCGGTTCTCGACTCGCCCTACTTTTCCCGCGCGAAATTAAAAGTAATGTCTTCTCCCTTCTTCCCTGGCCGCTTCTCTAATCACCGCGTTTTACGGCGTACCCTGCGCCAGACTTTCGAACCGCGCTCAAGATCCCCGTTGTGATTTTCAAGCTGCGGATAATTCGGACGAATAGTTGCACAAATAAAAAACACACTCTTCCTTTTATTTCCTTTTAACGATTCGACGTTGAGCAGGAGGAAAACAAATTGGTCAAAATGGCCCCCCTCGTGTATTCATGAATAATAATTTTGGAATTTTAATTTTAAGAAAACATTTTTAGGTTTAATATGTGGTCTGGATATTCTAGTCAGTGATAGTAAAGAATTTATTTATGGGAAATTAATTTTTGTAGAACCATGAAGTATATGAATACCAGAAGTATGAGGCAGCTTAAAATGGCGGATTTTATAGTGGTATGATATATGCTTTTGAAAATTGCATTTCTGTAGATGCATTAAATAAATTATGTTAATATTGGGAGTGTCAAAATAGTTCATAATTATGAGTTTCGAAATGGAAATAATAATATAATTTGCTCATGGAAACTGCGTTTCTGTGGGACCATTAAGTATATAAATACTAGAGGTGTCAAACATCGTGAAATAATGGATCTAAAATTTCTAAAATCAATTAATATTCTTTAAATCAAAACAATAAAAATTGTTTCTAGAACGTGTATATATTTATTTATATTTTAATTAAAACGATTAAAAAAATTTCGCGAAATATCTATATTTTAATTGTATATTAATTAAGAGAATAAAAAAATGTTTTGAAATAAAATTCTTCGAATAAAGATATTTTAATTAAATTGACCAATGATTTAAACGAAGAATTATCTCTCGTCACGAAATTCAAGTTTTCCCACGATGCAGATTAACGAATATGTAAACTCACGAAACTCCCATAATTCGCCTAATCAGTTGACGCAATTAATCGCGACGGGTCCCACGTGACGTATAATACTCGACGAGAAATAAAGTCACGCGCGATCGCGTTATCAAACGGAAGAAGGCGACCCGTGCACCAGGGCAACGTTAATTAAATCATGCGTGGACACGCGGCCCGTTCCCTAAAATTACGTTGCGCGCGCACGCGCCGCCATTTATGCCCGCGTATTTAGAATTCTATTATAGCCGTAGACGAGCAAATTGTTCCTGCATTTTCGATAACTTTTATCGACCAGCCTCGCGGTGATGAGGTCGAATCTCGAATGAGAGCAATTATATTCTGGGATAGCATTTCTGATAGAATCGACGATACAATTTTGTTAAAAATTGAAACAATAAATGAACATATCATATAATAAATTTCTTCGTGGCACAATTTCCTTTTCCCGTATTCTTTGCTTTCATATTGTGAAAAATGAATGATAGTTATGGGGCTTCAATGTACAGTATTTTATAATTTTGTAATTATATTCTGAATTAAAATTTTTAATAGACTGAGTGAATAATTTTGATGAAAATTAAAACGATAATATTTAAAAAGAAAATATTATAATATTTATAAAAAGATTCGAATGCTTTTCTTTGAAAAGGAAATTGCATAATTCCTTAGGGATATTGTACAGTGTGTTATACTAGAATTATATTATCGTTTTATTAATTTTGTCAGATTGAAAAATTGTTAAACAATGAATTTAATTTTTTTTTTAACTATCTTTGGGTGTTGAGAATTTTATTTTCCTCTTTGGCAAATAAACTGCACGATATCGTTGTTTCGTTTAGCCTGTGTGCATCATTAATTATCGTATGTGTTTTAATTATTGCCATCGTTCAACCGTAATCGTTTTTACTTCCATATAGTTATAATCAGTACGACAAGAACGAAGATGAATGGTACATTCAGAAAACAAAATGAACACTTGATTCAAAAAAAGAAAAGAAAATTGAAAAACTGGTTGGAAGATTCAACTACATAGTCCTCATAAATTTATTTTAAATAGAAATTATTAATTTTCAACGAGACCTAACGAAAAATTAAATATTATACATTAGAAATTGTTAAAAATATTTAAAATTATTTAAAATAAAAATAAAATTTAAAAAATTATCGTTGAAAATATAAAATTTTATTCCCATCGTGATAAAGCTCGGATCTTTCGCGATAATAATATTCCACAATGATAGTAAATTAACTGACAGGCGTATTATGCTAAACGCACAATTGAAATGTCTCGTTTGTTCATCTGAAGGGAAAACCACCCTCTAAGTGATAGTTCTACCTTCGAGAATTCTATTTCACGTTCATTCAAAACTCGCGTTTGAATACACCGTAAATCTTTGAAGGTGCATCAAATTCCGACGTTGTCAGGAAAGCATCGAGTTTACAATAATAAACTTCTTACACAATCAACTTCCTCACAGTTCTACTTTGTTGGGAATTCTACTTTGACTGGTTGATATACAAATAAGAGCTGAAATGTCGGGTTGAATCTGTGTCGGCGTAAGATGTACGCAAAGTTAGAGGAAGTTCATCAAGCAAATATTTGCGTGAAATATCTTTGATGCAATTCACATAGTAAATCACTCACGTTCATGCTTGAAATTAATTTCTTTTACCAAAATTATATTTCGATAACAGAGATAACACCGATCTTCCAAATGTGCCTTGAAATATTTGAAATAAAATATTTAAGGGTATTTTAAAATTTTTTAATTACTAGATTCTCTACTTCGTAAATTATTTTTTAACTTATAATACGTGCTGTGATATTCGAGTCATTTTACTACCAAGTTTTTTAAATCTTGTGAATTTTGAAATTAAAAATATTAAAAAATTTATCAATAGGTAAACTAGAAATATTAAAATAAAATAAAATTTCGTAACAAATTCTGGACACTGGTGATAAATTCGTAGTACATCTAAGAATAATCATAATCTAAAAATACAGTCTAACCTCAACAATAAAATCCACTACCCAGAATACTAATTACTAAAAAGAATCTTAAAAGCAGGAAAGAAATTTACAAAATATTGTCATAAATATTTAGTATATTCACGAAACATTTTTACTCAGCGAATAAAGATTGAAACATTCTCCAATCCACAGAACATCCCTAGACCCGAGTGAAACCTAACCTCAATCTATCCCGCGCGAAATGCTCGATAACAATGCACACACTCTTCGATACCCAGAACCTATTCTCTGCCGTTAAAAAGTCACGTGTACCCTGTAATTATGCATGAAACCAGACACGCAAGTCACCCAGTCCCGAATTCTCCTCGATAATTACACGTTTCTCAACCTAACCTCTCAACAGTCAGTCACCGCGGTACTCCACGCGCTCCATCTACCAGGCGTCGGATCAACCATACAATTTATCCCGCTCGTCGCGGAATAAAGCACGGAGTAGCTTCGTTCGATCAAGGATCAGACAGTAGACAAGAGAATAGAAAAGAGGGAACGAAAAAGCGATAGAATGTAGTGCGTACCTCAACGTGTCAGACCAGATCGTACCTTAGGGACGGCCGACGGAAATCGAGCGCCTCGAGGTCGGACGGCTCTCGTCTGCAGAGCGAGCAGAACGCGCACTGCAGAGTATTCTTGAAGGCTTCTCGGAAGTCGCGGTTGAAGTACGCGTAGATCAGCGGGTTCAGCGCCGAGTTCGTGTACCCGATCCAGAAAAGGAGCGCGATCACGATGTCGGGACACGGGCAGGATTTACCGCACAAAGTCGTGATAACGTACCTGCGAACAGAGAGTTCGTTTCAGTGGATTTTCTCCTTCGGTGGAACTTGCTTAACCCTCTGCAATTTCAAACTTCAGAGCTATCTATTCCTGTGTTCGATCATTTACTTTTTACTTCTGTTAGTTTGGCTGTTGTGGTTAGGTTGTGGATTTGGTTTTATTAGCGCGAACGCAAGTGTGTGAGGTTGAGTAATGGCACGAATGTAGATATGTAGGTGGGATTGGAATAAGTACGGCCTTGAAAGAATGTCAAATGTGTCTGGGCTTAGAATGAAAGTGACCATGTGCAAGAGGATTGACTGCAAAGAATATTTATGATGGAGTCGAGTGAAAGTTTAGGGATGCGTCTGCGTTTAGGAATGGTGCATGACCGGGAAAGAAAGCCAGGATATGGATGAGGACAGGATGAACGGTTTAAATAAGGGTGCAATGGCATGGGCGAGTCAGTCTTCAACAGTCTCCAGGAGTTTTTTGGCAGTCTTGAAGAGTGTGTCAGTATGTCAGTAAGAAGTCAAAGTCGAGCGTGCCCACTGCGAATCTCTCTTAGCCAATACACTATGTATCAGCTTATTTTATTCCATTAAGAAGTAAAACAGCACTATTTTAGCCAATCCACCCAAACCAGTCCTAGATGTATGTTTTTGGAAGTGCGATTGGAAGATCTAGAATGCGTGGTGTTGTGCAATTGATATGGATCTGAGTCAATGTGTTATGAGTTTCAGTTTGTTATAAGAAGCATGAGAGTGAACAATTAGGATATAAGACGTGTGTAAATTATAATTTTATAATAAATATACGATTGTTATACAACAAACTCACTAGGATAACCTTTGGTAATTCGATACCTCGGATCTATTTTCTGATTTGATAAAGGATATTTTTATTCTTGTTAGTTTAACTGTGGTTAGGTTAGCTTCTGGTAATGAGAAACTTGGGAACTTGGGAATTTAGGATGTTCGATAAATTACTTTTTACCCTCGTTAGTTTGATATTTCTTCTTATCACTGTGTATTTCCTTATACTAATTTTATATACCGATTTCCTTATACTAATTTTTCATCATTTTTCGAGTAGAATTAAAAATTATTCTCTGCACAGGTGGTGGAAAGTATAGAGGATGTGATGAAACTAAAATGTAAATTTGGATTTTAATTATTGGTATTAAATGCCTCTAATTTAGTAATTTTTTATTGAGTTATTGGTCTTGATGAACTCTAAATTGAAATTTGAATATTTTTTTAGATCTTTAATATTGTTAATATATTAATAGGGAAGAATATTTAAATACGAACAATAAAAATATTAAAAAATTGAAAATTGACCAAGTATTTCACTAAACAAATTTAAATTGGACAAGAGGTTAAGGAATATGATATAGGTTAATTCTGGATGATTTGATCTGTGTGACAGAAGTAAAGTTTTAGTAATTTTTTATTGAATTATTGGTCTTGATGAATTCCAAATTAAAATTCGAATATTTTCTTCAGACGTCCAATGTTGTTAATATATTAATAGTGAAGAATGTTTAAATACGAACAATAAAAATATTAAAAAATTGACCAAGTATTTTGCTGAACAAATTTAAATTGGACAAGAAGTTAAGGAATATAATATAGTATATTCTATATTATAAGGAATAAAATATAATATATGTGTGACAGAAGTAAAGTTTCGATCAACCATCAGGAAACGTGGTTTACTATAGCGTGCAAACAAGTTGGAAGCAAGGAAAGATCTGAATGTTAGGAATTTTATTCCCTTGTTATTGACCTGTGGTAATTACGTGCTCTTCTAAGAAAAAATCTTTCGCGTTTCTTTTCCCCAAACTTTCCCTTTCATGGTGTCTTTAGACGTCTTTAGTTTCTCGCTCTTTTGTCCCTCTACCTTTAAGGACTTTCCTTCCGCCATTGTGCAATTTTTAAACTTAATCTCTGATTACTTTCCCGCTAACTTTTCTTATTTCCACTGTTGTCCCCTTTTCTCAAATCCTACTCGAAACGAACGATTTTTCATTCTCGAACAATTTTTATTCTTCATTGATCCTTATCCTCGATCATCTAATCATCACCCTCGAGGTATAGACAAAAATGTATTGATCCGTCAAAATTGCTTCTTCTCTGATAATTTTCGATTCTACTCTTGTCATAATAAGAAAGACAATTTGTGGATTAGGTAAGAAAGATTAAAAAGCTACGCTACAGATCTAGGGAAGCCAAAGAAAAAGAAGACAGGAGATAAAGAAAGATATCCTTGCGAAGAAGACATATTACTGGCCAAGGGAAGCCAAAGAATGATAGAAGATTAAGAAGGATATCCTAAGGAATAACACAAAGACAGTACTTTGATATTAAAAAGAGAGACAAAGACTATGACAAGTAATAGATCAATTGATCCATCAAAAAGAAGAAGAAAAAGAAGGCAAAGAGTAATTAAATAATCCTTGTTAAGCATAAGAAGACCATGTTAAAAAATAAATTTGTTAATGTACTAAATATACAGGTTGCACTAATCGTAGGTAGAGTTCAGTAGTATAAGCACGAAATTGAGGAGACAGGTCTCGGATCAATACATTCGTGCCACTCTACATTGCAGTATTCTAATTTCGTCACCTGGACTTTAATTTCGAAATGACTATTATCACTTTCACATAGTATGGTAAATATCCATAGTATATTTCATAAAAATTAGAAAACTCCATTCCGAGCAAAGTAACAGGATCAACCAACGTTTCACGTAAGCCAGTTACCCCCACGAACGCGTCCAATTAGTAGTGTTTTCTTACCCTAACAAGAGCAATTGAATCCATTAACTAATCACGATACCCATGTGCGTCACGATCCTCTATACTTCCCACGTTACAATTAAACACAACACCACGGTCTACAAAAGTATCTCGAATCTAACCTAGATTGTAAACCCTGCAAACCATTCCTGTCTTTCAAGGAACAAAGGAAATAAGAGCTGTGGGCTAAAAGGGAGAGGTTAAAATTGCAAAATTATCATGATCCATCGGAAAAGACATGTGAGACCAAGCCTGAACGCTGAGACGCACCACAAGAAGAACGGCAACCAGCACAGTATGAAGGTACCCATGATGATGCCTAACGTTCTGGCAGCCTTGTGCTCTCTCTTCATCTTCATGATATTCTTATCCTTCGTAGGAGTATGCAGATGATCAGTGCTGATCTCGTTCAACGTTAGCGTCTTGGACGAGCCAGCGCTGTTCAGCTCCCCGTTCAGGTTATTCAAATCCTTGCTGGGCCTGTGGCTCAGTAGCATCACGTTTCCCATCCGACTGTGCATCTGCTTCTCCTGTCTGTTCGCCTCTTTGAACACGGCGAAGTACGTGAGAGTCATGATCGTGCACGGTATCCAGAACGAGATGCTCGACGAGAATATCACGTACACCTTGTTCACCTTGAACTCGCACAGCTCCGGGTGCTTCTGCCGGTGCATGCTGTTCTCGGCGGTGGTGTACCAGCCCATGAAGATGGGCATGAAGGAGATGAACGCGGGCATGATCCAGCAGGCGAGCAGCATATAGGCGGCGATCCTCCTGGTCATGATGATGGGGTACTTGAGCGGCTTCACGATAGCCCAGTAACGATCCACCGAGATGCACATTAGGTGCAGAATAGAGCTGGTGCTAAAGTAAACGTCCAACGAGTTCCAGACGTCGCACATGAAGTAGCCGAACAGCCACCTGCCTGTCATCTGGACGCTCGCGTTGAACGTCATCGCGAACATCGCGACCAGCATGTCTGCCAGGGCCAGCGAGACCACGAAATAATTCGTGATGATCCGCAACTTCCGGTGCCGCATAACCGACACCATGACCAGCAGATTACCGAACACCGCGGTGACTATGATGGAGCCTAGGAGGCAGCCTTTCGCGATCGTGGCCGGGACAGACCACTTCTGCTCGTTCGAGTAGCTGCTGTTCGCGAACTGGCTGTCCTCGGTCGAGATGGCGTTCAACAGGGTCGTCACGTCCACCGAGGACACCACCTCCGTCGGCTCGGAGCTCGTCACGATCGTCGTCATGCTCGGCCACCGCACGGAACCGCGTTTCCCTTGGCCTTGTTCCTCTTCTTCGGCCGGAAGAGACTCGACGGGCGGCCTTAGGTCACGGACGTGCCAACGAGCCGACGTACCAGGCTGGCCTTCATCTTCCCGTCGGGGAAAGGGCGTTGCCTCTTGCCAAGTTTCTTGTACCCTGGGCGCTTGCCAGCGTTTGTCGCCGATACGCGGATGTATCGTTTCTTCGCGCTCGGTTCTTCCTGTTTTCGAGGGTTGTTCCGGCTGCTAATCCAGGATGTCCGCTGCGTGCCTCTCAGAGACTGCTTGCGAGGGTTTACGTGTCCACGAGGCTCTCGTTAGCGGTGACCTGGAAATAAAAGAGATTGCAGTCGTTAGTCGTCATTTTCGAAAGTTTAACGTTAAATTACCGTTTTAATAACAATACATATCCACGGTGTCCCTTAAAATATAAATCTTTCAACAGCATACGATTGTTTTTCAAAAAAGGAATCGAAAATGAAGAATAAAATTTTTCGAAACGAGACTTCGTTCTCGAGAAAATCAATTTTCAAAATATAGTTGGGGCACCGGCACTGTTTTCATTCCATTTTGCGTCTGTAAATATGAACTTTATAAACGTGCAACTTTCCATCTATCATTCTACCGGTTTATTGTGCAATAAATATTCACATAAACTGTCAGTATCAGTTGATTTGTCGATTTCGGCCCACCGCTATACACGGTGCACCCACACAATTTCAAAATCAATTTGTTCGAAAACCAAGCCGTATTTTCGAAAATTTGATTCTTTATTTTCAACCCATTTTTTGACGTAGAATCGCAATCTGCTTGAAAGTTTGCATTGTACCTGTCGATATATATTCTATGTCTCGATTACCAATATATACACCTGTAAACGTTGCATGGAAATGCAAGGACACGTTGAATGCCTTTTCTGGGTGAAAAAGGAAGCGAAGTTTCGTGCTTTGAATTTCACTAATTAACATACAGCCTAATCGATCCCACCGTTCAATCTATCGCAGTACTCGAATTACTCTCAGATATAGGATTACGCTTTATTTTCGGTATTTACGTTCGCGTTTATTTATTTTTCCTTAGTTTCCAAATTTATAGTAAAAACAATTTCCGATGCATCCTGAAGGTAGATAAATAATTTTCTTCCACCTCTTCGTTGCTTTAAAATCGCGTCAATTACTCGTGTCGGTTTCGGTTCGTGCTTTTACAGATATCGCAGGTGCGAAGATCCTCCGTTTCGATTTCTAATACTCTATCCCTTTATTTGCAATTTGATGGAAGAAAAATTGTACTATGGCAGCGATCTGTTAAGATTTATTTACACACGGCATCGACGATTTTCGCGGTGCAAACAGCGCGTTGAATGGAACGGTTTCACGGTATTTTAACGTGTTATTGAAGTTCTTGTCGTCTCGATTGAGGTATTCGACATGAGAGAGATATCAAGCACACTAGACGACCCACTTTATTCGATTTGTTTGTACTACTTGCTTAATCTACTCAATCCATTACAATCATTCGGACTATTCAATTTATTCAGTCTGTACGGCACTAATACCGTGCCAGCAGATTTATTTGCTCCAACCTCTCTCTCTCGCCCCTCTCTCACTCTTCTTTAGAACCCGATGACGATGTCCGATAAAATCGCCAGTGAGATTCGGAATATTTCCACGCCGTTTCTTTCAAGTCTCTGAATAGGAATTTTAATTTACTCTTGGTATTGAAAATTTTTTTCTAAAGATTTGGCATTTCTTTTTAACGGAGAATTTTTTGTCATACTATCGGTGTTTGCTTCGATGTTTGCAGTGGTTGATTAAAATTTTCGTGTTGCATTTTTTAATAAATAATTTTTTAGTAAATATTATCTTGAAGCATTTTATTGCTCGCAGTGAACAAGAAAATTTTCGTTTTGGTATTTTGCGGAGAAAAATTTAATGAGATTTTAATAAAAATGAATAGAAATGAATAAAAAGGAATAGAAATTGTTATTTTGATTTACACCAGTATTTGCAATAGTTAAAAAAGATTTTAGTTTGGTAGTTTATCGAGAAAAATTATATTACTTCTGTACGTTTTATTATTTACGGTACTGAACTAAAAATGGACCTCGGTATTTCATTTTCCATTTTTCTTTTTAAATGGACTTTTAAATGGGAATTGTTAAATGGGAAATTTCGTGCAATTAATATTGCGTGCTGGTTAATATCGAAGTCAGTAGTTAACGAAGATTGAATGTGAAACGAATAATATAATAATGACATTAGCAAATCGAGTTGTATATATCAGCTTATTATAATGCACTATTGTGATGTTTAATTCAAATGCTTTCATATCAAAGAATGAATGAATGTCCTAAATTCTAAATCGTTGCTATTGGCAAATTGGAGAACAATTAATTGTTATCGAGTTAACATTAATCGAACATAAATTACGTGTTTAATGGATAAAATTTGTCAAATGTGGATCTCTAAACTGATCCATTAATGAAAACGAGAATACGCATTGATGGAGCATCAGGCATCAAACTCTACGAGATTACTATGACTTTTAAACCGATTAAAAACTGTATTTAATTTACAAATTAAACTATTACACAGAAATTAAAAAAATATATGAGCATTACTTACTAAGAATGACTGAAAATTAGAAATTTTTCTTCGTTTAAAAGGAAGAAAAATATATAAATAAAAATCGTAAAAATGGGATATGAAAAGATAACGTTATAATACGATAAAATATGCAAATTATTGTGTAACATAGTATTAATAAATTTATCATGACCAGTCAAATGATCAATAGATATAGAAAAGAGGGAAGGGAAACTTCAGAGAATATGGAATGAATGAAAACGTTGGAAAATCGATAGTACTTATTCAAAAAGAAAATTCGAGAAGTCAGGTAACCGAAGTGATAACGTAGAATGGCCCCAAAAGTTCCTGGTACGTTAAAATGGTAACGTAGAATTTTTAATAAAATATCTAGGAAAGGCTATTTAGACTAACATAGTGTCAACATGAAATAAGCGTCCTTTCTAAGAATCTTATAATTAAAAATGAACTTTGATCTACCAAAATGAAAGTAGTTAGCCTAAACAATCAGTCCCTTTTCCAATAATTTTACAATTAAAAATTAGCTTTGATCTACCAAAGCAAATTAAAGTATCCTAAACAATCAGTCCCTTTTCCAATAATTTTACAATTAAAAATTAGCTTTGATCTACCAAAATAAATTAAAGTAACCTAGCTAACCTAAACAATTAATCCATTTTTCAATAATTTTACAATTAAAAATTAGCTTTGATCTATCAAAATAAATTAAAGTAACCTAGCTAACCTAAACAATCAGTTCCTTTCCCAATAATTTTATATTTCAAAATTAGCTTCGGTCTACCAAAATAAATTAAAGTAACCTAGCTAACCTAAACAATTAATCCATTTTTCAATAATTTTACAATTAAAAATTAGCTTTGATCTATCAAAATAAATTAAAGTAACCTAGCTAACCTAAACAATCAGTTCCTTTCTCAATAACTTTGTATTTAAAAATTAGTTTCGGTATACCAAAATAAATTAAAGTAACCTAGCTAACCTAAACAATTAATCCATTTTTCAATAATTTTACAATTAAAAATTAGCTTTGATCTATCAAAATAAATTAAAGTAACCTAGTTAACCTAAACAATCAGTTCCTTTCTCAATAATTTTGTATTTAAAAATTAGCTTCGGTATACCAAAATAAATTAAAGTAACCTAGTTAACCTAAACAATCAGTCTCTTTGCCAATAATCTTGCAATTAAAAATTGGCTTCGATCTACCAAAATAATTTATTTGAAAAGAAAAAGAACCCGAAACCTCGACCATTTTCCCCATTATCTCAGCGTGAAGCAGCTTCCACAAAGCGGCACCGACGCTGTGGCGGCGCTAGTTTCCCGATTGTCACCACTCGAAACGAGGACGCGCCGGAAGAATGAGTAACCTTGAATGGAAGCCCTTTTTCTGCCGCCGTCTGTCGTCTCCGGCTCCGTTGACCGTGTCGCGACAGGGCCGTGTCAAGTGCACTCCCGTTCCGCCCGTGTAATTTATGATCCGCTATTTTTGCGGTACATTTGGGTCAATTATTCCAACGTCGGGACCGCGCTAGCTAGCGCCGTGGAGCGCTGCTTTTGCCGATGAAAAACACTCCTCTCCGCCCCGCTGCCGCATCGACGTTAGCCCCGAAAGCTCCTGGAACGCCACTTTTATTTCGCGGAACCGACACACCCCCGTCAGGGACTCAACGGCTTCGATCATCGTTCGGCCTTCGGCGTTTTGTCCGTCGGCCTTCCTCTGGGTCGCGTTCCTCGCGAGCTTCGCGACAGTTTCGCGCAAGGATCCTCGCGTAATGGATCGCTCGATGGCGAGTAAGGTCTCGGTGTAACGGTCACACGACACTCAGACGATTGACGACCATTGTTTTATAGATCACGGTAACTACGGGAATTTTATACGCGTTCCAGGGACCCTGGAGAGGTTAGGTTAGGTTGTATTCTGTGCACGAATTATGTGTATGGATTCTGAAAGAGGTTATGTCTGTGTGTATACGATATATATGAATTTTCAAAGAGGTTATGTCTGTATACGCATGATAGGTACGGATTCTGAGAAAGGTTATGTCTGCGTATATACAATACGTATGAATTTTCGGAGAGGTTATGTCTGTATACCTATGATAGATACAAATTCTCAAAGAGGTTATGTTTGTTTATATACGACACTTACAAATTCCAACAGAGGTTATGTTCGTTTATACACGATACTTATGGATTCTGAAAGAGGTTGTCTATGTATTTTAGAACAAGGTGCTTGATAATTGTGCATATAAATATCGTTTGCATATACAGGTTGTAGGTCAGGTTCTTTTGTTTGACAGTGTCGAGATTCTGGGGGTTAAAAGGTTTGACATTTATGTATATTTACGTTTAAAATGTCTGCTGAGGGATGTGGAGACGGGGGTTAGAAATGAGAAACTGATGTCGGAACGTAATTCTGGAGTGGGGTTTTCGTTACACTGCAAGGTTTTTGGAGAATTTAGGTGTTCTATAAAATATCAGGATGGTCGAGATTTTGGACGTTGAATTTATCTGACAATTACATGGAAAAAGAATTTTCAAATTTTTAGAAATGGTAGAAAATTGAATGGAAATTATTAACGCGATTAATTACGAACTACGAAAATGCATTAATTATTTATTTTAATTAGCAGGAAATTTGTGTTTATGTAATACAAAATTATTTATAATTCGTATCGCTTGAAATTTTAATAAAGGGAGGTAATATTTTGGTAATATAAAT